GCGGCGGCCGGCTCCCGCTCCGGCTCCTCCCGCGGGAGCGGAGGAAAAGCACAAGAGCAACCGTCAAGTGCAGAATTAGGAGCCCGCGGGGCCAAGCGACCCTTGCCCGGGTTGGGCAACAGGAGGAAAGGGGAAAGAAGCCAACGGCATCTCCGTTGCTGCAGCCTGAGGGATGGATTCACCCCCAAGCCCCTACGGGACCCGTCTCACTACCGCCAGGCTCGGTTTTGGCGTAGCCTCAATTTTTGTTCCACCAACCTCTTCCCCACGCTGCCTGCAAGGAAACGTCCTACAAGCAGAAAACCAGAAAAATTAAAAAAAAAAAAAAAAAGGAAAAAAAAAAAAAGAAAGAAAAAAAAGCAACGTCCTCTCTGCAAACTCACAGAACTGGGGTGTTTCCACCCAGACTCAGACCAGTGAGCCTCTCACTGTGGGTTTGCATCTTGCCTCTGTACTGCTCGCTTCTTTTTTTAATAATAGGGGAAAGCATAATAGTTTATTTTAACTATGAAATATATTGCTATATTATAAAGGATATTGTAACTTTCAATTATGTTTTTGTATCAAACTGAGCTTGGCAGCAGGCAGCGATGCCAGCCTGCTGCCAAAATGCCTGTTTCTGAGTACAGGCACTGCTCCACGGGAGGACTGAGACAAGGGTTAGCAGACGGGAGTCTTTGAAATTCATCAGGAAAGACTCTGAACGCTCCCAATCCTTTAATTTCTTGGGTATTGATTTATGTTACCTGGAAGCTGCCTTTAACGGGTCTAAAGTTGGTGCATCCTGGTGCATTGGCCTCTCGCTATGAATGGTGCCCTCCCCCTGTCCCCAGGGCCACAACAAGCCCCTGAAAGCCATCTGCTCCCTGGGCACCTCCATTAGACGGCAGTGGGATCCGGCTCCCCGGCTGCCAGTTCCAGGAGCCCTGAAATTGCTGCTCAGCAAACATTTTCCCACTGGGCTGGTGGCTTTAGGGGAAGCAGCAGTGCCAGTGGGGCTCCTTCTTGCCCCAACGTGGCTTGCAGGGGCTTTGGTAAGGAATAATCCACTGTGCTACAGTTAGAACCACAGCGGGCTCTGGATAGGACTCCCTCATCCTAGAAAAGTGGGTGCCAGCGCAGGATCAATTCCTGCTCCTCGCATGCGAGCCTCATCCATGCGGGAAGGGTGATCGCCGCTGCCACCAGCAACGCGCGGCAGTGGCTGCCCCTCAGCAGAGCTCTGCCCGCGGCCCCGGGAGCTGCTCAGTCCCGCTGGGATTGCTGTGCCCCGGGATGGAGAAGGGAAGCTGCCTCCGGAGGGCTCCGCTCTGGCAGCAGCTCCCCTGGAGCATCCCAAGGGCTCAGGAGCCGCAAGGGGCTGTTGCAAGGGGACGAAAAGCTGCTCTCCAACACCAGCCGATCCCATGGGATGAGCCGCCTCCCTGCCAGGAGCTCTCCCTGGCGCTGCTCCCGGCTGATGCTCCCGGTGCTCCGCTTCTCCCCAAGTGTTCTTCCCATCGGGGTCCCCACAGATGGCACCGCATGGCAGGGGGGGGGCAGGAAAGTAACCCCCGCCCTGTACCCAGAAACAGGCATGTTTTAAACTATGGCTTTAACCTGTTCACTGTAAAAAGTGCCTTGGACTTTAATCGGAGAGGTCGGTATCTCGGAGTATTTACCCATGCGGGTGTGTAAGTACGCAAGCGACCGTGTCCAGTTACACACTCACAAGTCTATGGTATCCGCGTACGTATATAAACGCTTCAGACCCTCACTGTGCCGGTCTCCGCAGCTCTGTTCTTCCAACGGGAGCGTCGGGGCCGGGGCCGGGGGTTTGCTGAGTGGTGGCCAAATGGCATGGCCCAAACGCCATAGGGAAAGCGGGTGCATCAGGCCCAGCCTCCGTGTGCACTGATGGAAAAGCTGGCTGGATTGCAGAAGGATAAAAGATGAGATGCCGATGAGGACATGCTGGCGACGAGAAGGGAAGGTCAGGACTTTCCCGCTCGGTGCAGGGTGCTGCAGAAGGACGATAATGTCCGGGCCTTGGCACTGGGTAAACCTGCGCCTGCCTTATCCCACCGCAGGGCCCAGAGGAGGTGCCTGCTCCAAACCTTGCACTGAGCATGTTGGGTTTTACATTAATTAAAGCGGAATCAATTAGACAGCAAGATATTTGACCACCTGGTACCTCTGACTATTTTTTCCCCTCCTCCTTCTCCTTCTTTTCCTCAATGTGCTGCCTCCAGGGAGGGCAGGGAACAAACAAGCCGCGTCGCAGTTTCTTACTTGCTTTTAGATTAAAAAAAAAGAAATATGTTTTGGGAGGAAAATGAATACGGGGTGAGCGATGAAAGCCGGGCCTGTCCCTGCGAGCAGCGTCTGCTGCGGGATGATTAATTGCTGAAAAAGTCAGTGCTCTAAACGCGCTCCAGGAGGGCCTTGCCGGGTCCCGCGCAGTGTTTATGGCTGTAATAACAATATTTGGGGATGCGGGGCGTTTCCGACGGGCCCTCCGGCCGCCCCTCGCCGGGGAGGGAGGGAGGAGATCGGAGCCGCAGCCCGGGTCGATGCCGCCCCCGCGCGGGGAGCGGGCGGCCCCGGGCGGGAGGCGGCGCCGCTTCGGTCGCCACCGGGGCGGCCGCCGGTTCGCGGTGTCGCGACTCGTGTTCCCCTAGAAACCGC